CTTTGGGGAAGTACAATTAGAGTGCCTAGGAGAGGCACAGATGTCTCACATACTTGGTACATCTTGTTAGGAGGGGCCAGTCTTTGGAAAGAGACATCATGCTGAGAATGGTGGAGGGTCTGCAGAAGAAGATCCTAAACAGGATGGACTAACAGTGATTCCAACAATGCACTTGAGCACAATGGAGGTGCTCAGGATGGCTTGGGGCACAACAGGGTTCAGATCTGTTGTTCAGAGAGTTGCTATAATTCACAGTTGACTTGATGGCCCCTACCAACAGATATTTTCCCTTTTAGGCGTTCTGTGAAAGGTGCTCTTCCCCCTGAGCTCACCAACATAGGGGAGTATGAGAGCAATTGAACCTGTAAATAAGTTCAGATTTAGATGAGTGTTGGAAATAAAGGCATTTGTCACTGATTTAATTGTCCATTTAGTCATCTGAAGATCTTATGTCACAGGGTTCTTTGTCAATTGATTTCCCAAAGGGATTCATTAGGGGAAGCTCCTTCACATTGCTGCCATCCCATTATCAGTAGGTGTTTGGATGTCCAAGGTGCATGCCGCTGCCCAGAGATGGTGGACTTAAAAATAAATGACCATCTGTCTGTTCATGGTGTTTCAGATGACAAGACACCTTCACTCATTAACTCACTGATCTTTATGACAACCCTGTGGGGTAAATTCCCCTGTCCCCTTAATGATTTTTCTGTAGTGGAATTGAAATCAATTTCTTATGTCCATTTTACAAATGAAAACCTGAGCTTCTGGGAGACTGGCTAATTTAGTCAAGGCTGCATGCATAGTGGGTGAACCAGGTTTGGAACCCAGATCAGTTAGATTTTTCAGGGTACACATCCCTCCCTCTTTGGTTCTCCAGTGCAATCTTGTTCTTCATTTACTGAATTGAGCTAAGTTGACTGACCTGTTTAGTGGTGAGGTTTAGCTCTACAGGCACAGATATCCTGTGCCTAATTCCCTTGCTTAAATCTTATTCTCCTAATAATAGGTGCTTGTTGCTATAAATTCAGAAACAATGTAGATTAGTTGGCATGATAATTAATCAGTTCCATACATTTTTATGATCTTTTTAAGGCTGAAAGTTTCTGAGCCATTGAATGCAGAGCAGTTTCCAGGATGAGGTGGATTTTGAGCTGGCCTGGGAAGGACCTGAGGGATATAATGCCAGAATGACTATTTTGGTATCCAGTGTGAGAGCCTTTCTTAGCCAGCGCTGGTCGTGTGATCGGAAACTCTTTGCCCATACAGAGCCTCATCTTACAACTGGGTTGTAAAACCCAGGGCCTGGATAACTCTGTGGGCTGTGTCCTGGCCCATGTCCAGCATAGGTAATTCCATCTTGCTGAGTTCCAGTTGACCACATTGCAAGAGCCTGGACACAGGGTTCTTCTTTTTGCAGTAAATGAATAAAAACGTGAGCATCTTGAATGTTTGCGCTACTAAGCATTCAATTAATGCAAGCAAGCAGTGCTTGCTCCACACATCCACCGACTTCTAACTCTTCAGGCCCAAGAGATGACTTGAAGGGGTGGCCTGCAAGGCTGTCAGTGTCTTAAAAGGCAGATAATGTCATTGCTGAGCAGTTGAACAATTCAGTAGCAGGAATCAAATGAGCATTTTTTCCTGAAATGCCACACCCTCCCTTGTGTGGTAGCACTTCAAAGGTGGCTCTAAGCTTGGTGGTTATAATTGTCTTTAGGCCACAGCTAAGACTGACAAGACTGGAATTTAATAGGAATGAATTTGAACTCTTGTTTTAGTTCCTAAGCCAGTTAGTTGCACAAGTATATAACAGGGGAGATTGAATACAGGAGCAGTTTCTCAAGGGAGGGCAGCTTAGTGGCCTTTTGGATCTTATGTTCACTCCTGAGTGTCCTTTATTAAAGGTTGTGGATAAAGAGTGTGTTCATGAGGATGAGGGATGGATGATGTGTGAATTATGTCTGGAAGCCAGCCAGGGGTCTGGGGCCGTTTCAGCCACGTCATGGATGGCTTGGAGAACTCCTTCATGGGACACAAGGGATGGATGAGTAGAGGGTAGGTAGCAAGGAGATGTTTTCTCTAAATAATTTTTTAAAGTCTACTGCTATCAAGTCATTTGTGTTTCATAGCAACTCTGTAGGGCACAGTAGAACTGCGGTAGAGGACTTCAGAGGCTTGCAGTGTTGATAAGAGCATATCACTTTCTCATCTTTCTCCTGTGGAGCAGCTGGTAGATTTGAACTGCCAACCCTGAGGCTAGCAGCCACATAAATTAACCAGTATATCACCAGGTCTTCTCTTCAGCCAAGTTGGTGGAGGAATTTTTGCATGTTAATCTGAGGAGTGCTTCCTGTCATTGATGATGTTTAAATACAGACTGGCTGGTTGGTAAGATGGGTCATAGGGCACTTCAGGAAGGGGGTATTGTTATGCTTTGGGCTAGAGTCTCTGAAGCTCTCTAATTATACGTTAATTTTTGAAAGCCAACCTAAGCTGCTCTGGAGTCTCTGGGTGATGTAAACATTAATGCATTCTCTGAGAAATCTCCTCTTGTGTGATTAACTGCCTCCTCAGAAAACCCGCTGGAGGGTCGGCCCTGGGGAGTTCTGACCCGAGGCACACAACAACAACTGCTGCCTGGAATGTTGGCATTTGAGCCCACTCGGAGAGGCCTGGTAAGAAAGGGCTGGCTATCTAGTTCTGAAAGATGAAACATTGAAGTTTTAAAGTAAAACTATACTGCTGTGAACCGACCAGCACTTGGCTGGCCTGTGGAGGCTGTGGTGAGGGAGGGAGGTGTGTATGTGTGTGTATGTAATAATCCAGTGTGTGGGGCTTAGAGAGGTTTGAGAACAAATAAGTGGGATAGTCATTGTTGAGAAAGTTCACTTTTAGTCTCATAATATTGCTACTAAACCATTTTAAACCTAAACCAGTCTCTAAGGTAGAACGGTTAGGCTTGAATTTTATAGGACTCTTGGATTCCCAGGAAAAAGTGTCATGGTTTGAGAATTCAGATGGCCCACACTGCAGGCATGGTGGAGTTCATCTGGGGGTCAGGCATTAAATCCTTTATTGTGCTATAAATTATACCTTAAAGTATGTGGCATTTCTGAAAAGTCTTTTGCAAATGTACCTGTGATGGTAGGAAGCGGTGAGTGTTTTGCAGACAAGTTCTTTGAGTGATGGATCAATGTCTGCATTTAAAGGCAGATGACCTGAGGGTTCCTTCTGTGTAAGTGCTTCCAAATTGGAAAAGATGCTCGGGGAAGGAGCCAGAAGCACCCACCAGTTACACCATTAATTGTGTCATGTTCACGCGCCACAGAGTCTCTGCTCTCGGTATCTGTTGCTGTACACAGGTGGGGGAGGGCGGGGGAATGAGACGCAGTTGGGAGAGGGGAGGAGAGAAGACAGATTGCTTGTGGTGGCTGCCCTGGGCCATGGAGCTGGCCGGCGCTGGGCGGGGCTGCCTGCACCTGCTGCCCTCCCGGGCGCCTCTGCGCTGCTGCCTGGACTTGGGTGAGGGAGGAACCGTGGCCCACTAAGCCCTCTCGGCTCAGGCTCCTTCCTCCCCTTTTGATTAATTCCCAGGAGCACTTATTCCCCTCCTTTTTTTGGAAAACCTTTGAATTCATAATCCAGTGCCTTTTCAACAAAGGAATATTGATATGTTGGTGCACTGGACAGCAGGGAGTGCTGGATTAGATCATTTTCACATTGGTGTTATGCCAGTTTGACATTTGTTTTGAAAGCTTATCGCTTTATGACCTTAGGTTACATGCATAATTTAAGGGGAATAAATATTTGAGAAAGATTTCTTTGAGTTCTGTAATCTTCACGGCTTCACAAAAAAGAAATGAAAGACTCTCCCACAGGTATCATGTGACCAGGAATCCAGAGTTGTCTATGAGATGAAGGACCCCATGTGGGTATTGAGCATTTCCTCACATGGCAGGTTCTCTGGTAAGGAATAGGAAAGAACCGCTTTGAGAGTAGAGCCTGGGAGTTGAGAGTAGACAAGAGACCTTGACTCTACAGAGAAAACCCTTGTAGATAAATGCTGTATTATTGTAGGTCCAAGTCAGTTGGCACTTGCTTACTCTTTAGAATTAGTTTAAGAATCTTCCTTCTTTCCTTCCCATCATTCCTCTATCTTGGACTTAAAAATATCAGGATGATTTTGATGTTTCAGTGCTAATGATATGCAGCCACAATGAGGAGAGTTGGTTGGTTTAGTATTGTTGTTATTGGTGTGTTTTTTTAAAAAATACACTTATTTATGTCCAAAAATATTTTAATCGAGCAATATTCCACCCTCTCATTGACATACAGTTGCATCCAAGTCCATTGAATTTCTGAGGACTGTAAATTGCATAGGAGAAGATTACCCATCTTTCTTCCACAGATCCAATGGTAGATTCAGACCATCAGAGAGAGGCACGGCCTTTGTCTTGGCAGCACGGCTGTCTGTTGACTGAGCCCCGAGGGCCCCCTAAAGTGCTCCTGTTACCTAGTAAAACCAGTTGACGCTTGGTTCTGAGTCATGGCGATACATGGGTGTCAGAGTAGCTCCACAGGGCTTTTCATGGATCATCTTTTTGGAAGTAAAGCACCAATCCATTCTTCAAGGTGTCTCTGGGTCGATTGAAATTGCCACCCTTTTGGTTTTCAGCTACATGTGTAACCGTTCGCGTGCTTGGTAAATGGTTCTTGCATCCTTCATTGCAAACTTGCAACTTATAGTGCGTAAAGTTTTCAGATATATATTTCCTCATCTGGAAAGATGATCTGACTTCTGCCTGCCATTGTGTTTCTGTATGAGGACTTGGCAAGGATGCATCGACAATAAAAGCCACATGGAGCTTAGAATTCCATATTTTCTTCTCCAGGCACAGTTGACAGCTAAAGAATTTGCACAATTAACAAGAGCAGTATGTTTGTGGGTACCATGTCCTTATCATGCTATCTTGTGATTTTTCTTTTAGGTCTGTTTTCTTGAAAAGGCTCCAGGCTTCGGCTTGGAAAATCCAACCGCCAAAATTGAGCCCAGCAGCTGGAGCGGCAGTGAAAGCCCTGCCGAAAACATGGAAAGGATGAGTGACTCTGCAGATAAGCCAATTGACAATGACGCTGAAGGAGTCTGGAGCCCCGACATTGAACAGAGCTTTCAGGAGGCCCTGGCTATCTATCCACCGTGTGGGAGGAGGAAAATCATCTTATCAGATGAAGGCAAAATGTATGGTAAGTTGGCCTGCAATGCCCTTTTAAAATACTTGGCGGCAGCTGTCCTTCTCTTGAGATTCACTGATTGTATTGGGCTAGATGATCTTTGTCTATTGAGATTTTGGTTGTTGTTCTGGGGGCTTCAGTCTCAATTAAGAGGAGACTAGATCAAAGGCCCATTGGCAGATCCTTCTCTGGAGTTTTTTTTTCACATTTAATATGCTCAGTGGTAGTACATCAGGAGTTCTCAAGGTGCCTATAGAATAGAGATGTTTTCAGTGGCCTGTGCAGATCTTGCATGGTGGGGACCAGTCCCTGCAAACACTTTCCTTAATGAAACACTTCTGTTCACTTCTAGGTAACTGGTACCACACAGGGTAGAAATCTGCAGTTTCCCTATCTCTTTATTTCCCTCAGCCCACAATCTAAATTGTTATATAAGATCTTCTCCCCTCAACTTATACAGGCCAGCTAAAACTTAAACATGGGTTTGTTTGAACTCTTAAAGCACCAGTTTACTGCTTTGCTGCCAGTTCGCAGTTGAATAGCCTTGCTAAGGTATTAACCCCCATAGGGTGCTTTTGCTATTCTATAAGGTACTTCCCTACAGTGTGTTTGGAAGGGAACTCCAGGAGTGCCAAGATAGGTGAGACTGAATGACCGACCACATGGCTCGGTGTGCTGAAAACAGCAGAGACTTCTCGTTTACTGTGTGCTGCCTTTGGACAGACTCCATACTTTGCATAAATACTTCTAGCCAGGGACCTTGACTTTCTGGCTGCTTACCTTTGGGAGACAGATGGCAGGAGGTTGCTTGTCCATTCTGCTTGTCTAATTGGACATGCTGAGTTGACAGAGTTTGGACTGAAGCTGAACCTAAAAAGTTGCAACCAGATAATCTAAACTCGAAGAAAACCAGCTCAGCAACCTACCTGAGGTTGTTAACTTAGCATGGGAGTGATTTATTTTGGAATAATTTGAAAGCTTTTCCATAATAGGGTGTTGTGCCTTTAATACTGTGCCTCCTCTGTCAGGAGCCATAGGAGGCTGCAGCTCAAACTAGCACACACTGCTAAGGAGAAAGCAGATGGTGGTGCAGCTGCCACCAGCTGTGCCCCCACTCCGCCCTCCCCCTCTCCAACATGGATGATGTAATGGAAACAAGGGGAAATTTTGCTTTCTGCAGCATTGGCGTCTCTCAGCCTGTTTGTATCACATGGGAAGAAAGAGAGAGAGAGAACCCAAACCTTTAGAATTTGTAAGTGCTCATGGGTTCCTTCGTAGCCACAGAAGCCTCTACTGGTCTGGTAAAATTGGCTTGGGAGGTAACATCCCAGCTGCTGAAGGTGACGGTTTCAGGCCTCAGTTTCCCCCCTGCATCTTTCCTGCTTCTAAGGATGCTTGACTCGCTTTCTCCAGCCCGAGTGTTTTGTTTTGGGGTTTTGTTTTCTCACCTGGAAATGCAATTTCCCCCTCTTTTAAAGGGAAAGAAAAGTGCTTTAATCTTTGAGATTTCTTTGAAGACAGTTTTCTGTTATGTAATGAAGGATGACTTTGGGGCACTTATCTTACACATGTAAGCATCAGTTTTGCCTCCTCCCCCCATGAGATTTTACGTTTAAGATAGTAGTCATAAACATACTTTCATAGGAAAATTACCATATAGTAATAATAACTCTTTGTGTAACTGGATCTCAGAGCCCTCAGGCGAGGAGAAGCAACAGTGGCCTTGAGAACCGTTCGTTGGATTTGAGTTGTCTGCCAATTCTGAACTTGGACAGTCCTACCCTTGGGCTGGCATCTCCGTTTTCTCCTTTATAAATAGGGTGGAAAGTGTTGATAATGTCAATGGATCCTTCAAACTTTAACATTTCATTATATTGTAATTTTGTGGTTTATACTCAACAAGAATGAACTGTCATTTGATAAAACATAGTGTTAGTTGAGCAGCCTTGTCTTTTAATTTCCAGGGTAGCTCGTATTCACAGCACTCTAAGTATACCTGCTCCTGATATATGGATTCTTCCCCTCAAATCAAATCAGCACCTCACTTCCTCACTTTATTGGTGACCACCTCATTTAAAATGAGACAGTCCCTTTGAGTAAGCAACGTTGGAAACAGAATTCATTTGAGATGGATAGTTCTGATCATTGTGGATTTTTCACCAGTCTGGGTAGATACCCTGCAGGATTGTGATCCTAAGGTCCATTTGCTGCCTTGTGCCAATCTGCAGCTACCTTTGCCTCCCGGAAAAAGCATCCTATTCTAGGTCTTTGGTCAAGATGAAAAAGTTCTGTTTCTGTTGCTGCTTTGGAAGGGAAATATGAGCGGTAGCAAGATTATGGGAGATGGAGCCTGAAAGCCTAAAAAAACTGCTATTGGTGCTTATGAACTGCCTATGGCCTGCCTCCTGACTTGGAGGATGAGAGAAGGTTGATTTAGGAGGCTTCATGATGGGTCCCAGTCACTTGGAGATGGAGACATTTACACAGGGTGGACCTAGAGCCGTTTACTAGTCCTAGGGATAAGGATACAAATAAGAACTCAAAAGATTTCTGAGGTCCTGAGAGCATGCTTTTTCACTAAGGGTTTTGTAAATGAAAACATTGAAAGCAGTTTGGATACCATGTAGTAAAATCAAAGTAATTGAATGCCTTTTAGTGAAATACCAAGTGTTTTTGACTTGAGAGGATTGTTCCGATATTTCTGAGCATTTGTAGAGTGCATCATGATGTCACTAATCTTCAGCCATTAGAGAAGCAAGGTCAAGTGCAGCATTGATTTATTTGAGTAATGAAATTTCCTTCTGGGAGGCAGTAGGGCAAATGCAATCTTATAGAGGGAACAAATGGAAAGCTCTCTTTATGATGAGGTTTGAGCCTTTAGAAAAGATGGCTTAGTTCTTCATGCTGCCTTGGCCTGTGGGGAACGTGGGACTTGATACAGTTATGCTCCGTGTGGATAGATGGCATCTGCTTTGGTCACGCAAGGAAGCCTACATGATACAATGGTCAGGCACACACTGCTAACCAGCTGGCTGCATGGAGCCCGCCAGCCACTCTGAGGAGAAGGAATTGGCAGGCTGCTTCCATAAAGTTGTCTGATTGGAAACTAGGAGAACATTCTCCACTGTCCTGTAAGGGCACTGGAAGTTGGAATCAACTTGATGGCAAGGAGTTTGGTTTTTGAGGGACCGTCTTTATGTGTAAGCAGTTCTTCTGGATAATTAGAAGTGACCTCCATCCTACTTCCTTTGCCATGTGACCAAGAGGGACTGTTCCTTGGAGAAGAACATCATGCTTGGAAAGGTGGAGAGGCAGCACAGGAGAGGAAGACCCCAGATGAGATGGATTGATTTGGTAACTGGAGAAAATGGGGATAGGTGTGTCAGAGTCAGTGAGACTGGCTCAGGATAGGGCAGGCTTCAGAGCTGTTGTACATAGGGGTGCACACAACAACAACAGCAACAACCACCCATTCCTTTGATGACATGTGTAGGAGTTTGTGCACGAGCATGTGAGTGCTGCTCCCTTTCTTGGGCCTTTCAATCCTTTTCATAGCTTTCCCCCCATCACTCCCCCTTTCAATAAAAGATATGTCTCTCTCCCTGGTAGATGCTGAAGGAAGAGCTAGCAGGAGGTTAAGAGGGAGGAAAGTCAGCAGACTTACCTGAAATTGGATTTCAGAGGAGCAGGGGGTTAAAAACATGACAAAACTAAGCAGTCAATCATGAGAGCCCTTGAGTGTGTTTCTGTGGCAACTGAAAACCTCAGTCTGGCATTGTGTTCAGATATCACCCAAATAAACCAAGGGGACAGAAACTGTCATTGACTGATTGATTGCTGTAGAGGCAGTGATGTGCAGTACTTAAACAGATGGGTCCTGGAATTGCTGGGATCCTGACCCAAATACCAGATTTGGGCCACATTCTACCTCAATTTCCTGATCTGCCAAATGGGTCAAGATAGATTCTACTTTAAAGGATTATTAATTTAAGTAAGCTAGCTTTGATCTGGAATTCTCCTGCCAATATTTGAATAGGGTTTGGACACACAACAAAAAGTGTAGCCTGTAAGTGTTAATGAATTTGAATCACGGTGGCGCTCTCTGCCATGTACTGTGCAGAATGCTTTACGTCGACCTTCCATCTCAGGTGCACAACAGCCCTTTGTTGTTGCTGGATGTTGTTGAGTTGCCTATGACTCCTAGCAACCTTATGAACAACATGATTTTGGCCAGCCTCATCATCTCTGATGAACTTACTGTTACTGTCAGTGTGTCAATCCCTTTTGTTAAAGGTCCTCCTCTTCTTTCCTGACTCTTCACTTTGCCAAGCATGTCTTTTTTCAAGAATTGGCCTTTGAAAGGATTCTTAACACGTCCTACTTTGTAGATGAAGAAGGGGAGATTGAGAGAGGGGCAAAGTGGCTTGCACATGATCAGTGTGTGAGACAGCTAAAACTTAGTTCTCTCTGACTTCAGAACTTAGTCTCTTTCCAGTGAATGTCTGTTGCTTCCTTGGTGGTGTTAGTTGCTGTTGTTATTCTAGGTTAATTTAACAAATTGGTAAGTATGCTTGCTAGGAGTTGTCAGGGACTCAGCAGTGAACTAGACAGACACAGTCCCTGCCCTCATGAAGTTCATTTGCAGGAAACACTGACCTGAGGTCAAGGCTGTGAGCCAAAGCTTTCTGGGAAGTCTTAGGGCTCTTTGAAGATGGTCATCTTCCACTTAACCTTTTGAAGCCTGTTCTTGGCCACCAGTGTCCAAGGCACTTGGTCTGATGCTGGCAGGATAAAAGCATCTCACATATCCCAGAGGGGAAGATCCCAGATCACAAGGCTGGCCCTGATGGAGGCCAGGAGGACGTCTGGAAGATTTCAGTATCCTAGGATCTTACAGGCAGTCTAATCAGAGTAATTGCTGGACAATGACTTTCCCTTTTTGAGTGTGGATGTCTTCTGGGTCCGTCCTTACTATAGTTTTTGGGAGAGATTCTTTCTTGCTGGGCTGCTGC